TAAGTAAGACTTTAACTGATGTGATGGAGCTCTGTTTTCAGATTCCAGGCTGTCAGCGCAGCAGAGATGAAGAACCTACTGTCACTGATCTTGTTGATAAGATAAAAGAAAAGAAAATATTGGTAAGTGTTTCTTTATGCATTGTTTGATGATGAAAACATGTAGCTCAATAGTTTACACACCGTTGATTTTGAAAATTACTCAGAATTTGTGTTAAAAACCATTTCAGAAAAGTTTTAAAATAATGTGACATGTATCTGTCACAGTTGAACAGCAGATTCTTGAGAAGTTGTTTTGGATTCACATCACAAAACTAGTACTTTCTTAAAGTGTCTTTTGTTTCAGTTTTTGCATTTAGTCTTCTGAAATTCCCACATTTAATCAATATCATGCAACTTTACCTTTGCTACAGGACTGCACTGTAGCAAAGTGCAGAGTGTTCAGGTGCTCCAAGTTCATGGAAAGGAACAAGGACACAACGTACACCATCTCTGCAAACATCAGCTCAGGATGGATAGAACAGGTAATTGATGTGAAGTTCATATAGATGCACTGACTAGGCTGTAAAATGTAAAGAATAAACAGAATAAAAAAGCTCATCATCCCTGATGTGTTTCTCTGTCTCAGATCGGACTTTCATCTGCCAAGTTCCTCCTGACCAGTACAGCCAGTCTAGAGTACGATGAGAACCAGTACATCTTCTTCTCTACAACCTCTAATAGTGGCCCTCCTGTTCACCAGGTGATAGAATGCTGCTGTCAATGTCTTAGTACCAATCAGACCTTTAAGGGTTTTATTTGAAACTTCTAAACCTCTCATTTTCAGATTGAGGCAGAGGTAGAAGTGTTTCCTAAACCAGATTTCACTAAAGAGATTATAGGAGGATCTCTGGGAGGATTGGCCTTTCTGGTTTTACTTACTGCTGGTCTGTATAAGGTGAGTCAACTAAGATTTTCTTAAAGTCCCAAAAACCCCAGTTGAATGTAATTGACACAACATGCCCAGTAATTTCTAACAAGCAGATTTATTCATTTTTCTTTTCAAAATTCCCATTTTCAATGTTTTCATGCTTTCCTTTCTGTCTCTACTGCGTCTAAAAACAGCCCAAGTGCTTCACCCAGACATTTTCTGGGAATAACTGAGTGCCTTTTAGCGTCTGGATAATGAGCCGTTTCAAAAACAGCAGATGCTGAGTAATACTACGGTGTTACCTAGCAAGCACAGCAGAGCCCAGCCCAGTTGGTCAGCTGGCTGTATCCCTGTATGTGCTGTACAATGGCTGCTGGAAAAGACAAAAGTTTTGTTGTTGACTTACCATCCAGAAACCACTTGCTTCATTTTTGTTGATTGTGCAGGAGGCCCCACTTCTGCTTTTCAAAGATATACGTTTGCAACTAAGTGTCCTGAGTGGTTTGACGTGGCCAGATGCCACTTATTTAGATCAGGCAGATAGATTTAGGCAGAACTGAGCAGACTAAAATCTTTGGTTTTGTGCAAAGGATGTAATAAAAATAGTCTGCATCACCCACCATGTTCGAGGAAGCATAATAAGTCACTTTAAATGTTTATCTCAAGTCTTCACTCACTTATCTTGCTCTTTCTTTCCTGTGTTTCTCTCAGGCTGGATTTTTCAAGAGCAAGTACAGTCAGATGATGAATGAAAATGAAGGAGGAGAAGCAGGACCAGGAGCTGAAGAAGCAGCTCCCACAAATGGATGAAAGTTCCAGTACATTTGCAATGATCATTGCTTCTATGAAATGTATCTGATGGTCGTTTAGTTTAGTGAAGGTACCAAACACAGTGTGTGTCTTTCAAACCATTCCCTGTGTTACTTTGTACAAATGAGTTTGAACAACAAACCAGTAAATCTATGCAGAATTACTGGTAATAATGTAGTTTCTCTTAATATTAGGGTAGTACTGATGATATACTTGCTTTTTTAAAAAAGAACTGTGATTGAGGACATATGCTGTAACTGATGCGCTGCTCAAAGTTACAGTGGATTAAAGTGTAATAATAATATAAATGTGGAGGGATCTGAAATGCAAAGTGAACAATGTAATATTTCAGAAACTTTAAATATAAAAGAATGTTTGTTTGCTTTGGACTCTCTGGTGAAATATTTGTGTTATATGACAAGGTGATTTTATGGTGGACAGAAAGCATACCAGTGTTCAGTGATTTTTAAATATTTCAAAACACAACATGATTAAAGTTGCTTGTAGGCTAAAAAAAGTATTTGTGCTTGACAAAAGGATGTAAACTGTTTTACTGAGAAATAAAGAATAATTTATATTAATGAAACATCTTTCCTGTACTGTGTTAAGTAAGTAATCCAGACATTTTATTTTTGAAAAATAAATATCTGATTTAATGTCCTGTGTCACATTTTGTGATTTGAATGTGTTAAAAAAATAAATGTCTATTTATGAATAAAATTTTCATGGAACTGATGAATTAAGAATTACTGGTGATGCATTAATCCTTAATTTCCAGCTAAAAGTATTAAATCAAAGCCAAAAACAAAGTCCACTTTCTTGAGCTTTACATCATGTTGTAATTTTATTCAGTCATCAAACCTGGAGTGTTGCCTTGATTCTTGCATGAAAGTTTGAGAAATCCTTTAATCTCCATGGCAACCATTCTGCTGTGCAAAAGGCCTGGGTGGACCTAGCTCCGCCTTCCAGACACAGCTCCTCCTCAGGGCTGCAGTTTCACCGCGACTTCCCCACTCAGTTCCTTACGACTAGCCCACAGCAGTTAGCCAACACCTGGTAGAACTGCTGAGCTGATTATAGGAGCTATGTCTCAGAGAAACCGGTAAAAACGTTAGTAAAGGGTTATTAATAAAGGAGCCATGTTGGGATGACTTCCTGGAGGCCGAGTTTCAGAAAGAGCAGGAGTTTCTTAAAGAGATAGAAGTGCAATTTCAAAGCATTAAATATGGAAGTCAAACTTAAGTCATATTTGATACATATGGCATTTTTATAACAACTGAAGGTAACATAGTCACTTGATTGTACTATAAAATGGCGATATGTGCCTGGAAGATGCATAAAACTGAAACATTCTTTGGCCAGATGATCAGTGTTTTAAATTCATATCCCACTGAAAATGTACATTTGTTTTAATCCAAGTAAAACATACATTTTGAACTGTATATGAATTAAAAGTGATGTAAGGACCTATAAAATATCTTATTGAAGACAATTTGCAAAAAAGAGGGAAATAATCACAGATACATGGAACAAAATAAAGAAACACATTTAAAAGATTTAGTTTATTTGGATAATCACAAATTATATAAAAATCATTTATGATGAAATAGGCCACAGCAAAATTTTCACTCAAGGTGAGAGCTGCGCTACAAACAACAGTTTTAATCAACACTTTCCTAGAATAAAGAGAAACTACATTTTTACCAGATAGTTTGCATTTCAATGTAGCAATTAGCAGGGAATGATCTGGAAAACACACATTGTGTTTGGCCCATTCAATAAATTAAAAGGCCATCAGTTAAATTTCATAGAAACTATAATTATTATAAATGTCCCTGTCTGAGTGTCCGTCCTTCAGATACAGCTTCTCCTCCTGCATTTTCGCTCATCACATTGTTGTCCTTGCTTATGAAAAATCCAGCCTGAGAGAAAAACAGGAAAGAAAATGGAATGAAAATCACGTGTCGTAACATAAATACTGGAAGGCTTGATGTTTTGTCAATTATTTTCTGACAAGAATCTTTGGGATTTCTAAAAAACCACAGATTATTCATCTTGTACAGAACGGCAGTAAGTAAACCCAGAAAGGCCAACCAAGCCCTTGTCGGCAACACTTTATTTGACGGGGTGTGAATAAGACTGTCATGACACAGTCATAAACATGACATAGCACCTGTTATGAACATGAGTGAGTCTTCATGACACTTTTAATACAAAGTTGACATTATTCAAAAGTTATGACAACTTGACATTTACCAAGAAATCATGATCTGACAAAAATTGTTATAAAAGTATTACCCATTAAACTTTAAAAATTATGTAGCTTTATGTGGTAATATTTTATTGCTTGGTCATTTTGTTTCGTCTTAAATTAATTTAATCGATCCTAAAGTTTTACAGCAAGATGTCTACAAAACATTTATGAACTTTGCATTCGAAACATTAAGGCTGTTTTAAGTAGTGCAATACACCGTCTCCACCAGTGAGAGGCAGCAGTGCACGAACAGGCGTACATCGTGTGGGTGAAGAAGAAATCTTCCATATTGTGGGGCCAACCTAACACAAGTTATAACGGCCAGACCTCCTGTTTAAACAGAAGCCAAAGTTTGTCACGTATGACATATGAGGTATGTGTCTTATTAACTTTACATTTTCTTTGAGAAAATAACATTAACTCTGTTCTCTTTCTTTATAATGTTAGCTATGAGCAATTCAAGCTAATGGAACCTTCCTGTAATTTAATGTTAGCTAAAGTTATTAAACTCCATTACTGTTAGGTTAACCCTTAACCTTGAACATAATTTAAAGGCAGGCAAATAGATTTTTCAATCCAATTTTAATCTAGCAAAGTAAAAGCTAATATGTTAGTCAAAGTTATCTTTTATGTGCATTATTTAGCAGCTTGGCTGATGTTATATGGTGCTTGTGTTCTTTGCTTTGCCAACTTTAGCCACATGAAGAACAATTTTAGCCTAAGGGCACATGGTGGGGGGTGGGGTGGACAAATGTGGCTAATGAAGACATGCTGCAGGTGTGGAGGATGATAATGAGGACCAGCCACCAGAGAAAAAAGCCCCTGTCTGACCAAAGAGAAAGAAGCAGATGAAATATTCCCCAAGAAATTTAGGTCAGTCATTTTTGTGTTGCTATTTTCTCCAGGTGAAGGCAGGTGGGCGAGGACAGGTAAGTGGGGACGGGGGAGCAGGAATCAACATCCACCAGCTGAGTTAACAAGTTACGTTTTAGACAACTAATTGTTGTCAAATGTAAAACTGGTGTTTAATCTATTTATTTATTAATAAACTTCCTGCAAACATCCATAAGCCAGAGTATCTGGTTGGAAATAATTTTGAATGCTCATTAAGTGAGCATTCAAAATGCTCACTTTTGAATGCTCAAAGGTGAGCATTCACCTTTGAGCAAATTTTAATAATTATTCAAATTTGAATAATTTGAATTTGTTATTCAAATTACATCATTAAATGATGTAATTTGAATAACAGTGGCAGTCTGTATGAACTGCCAAACAAATATTTGATCAGAATAATTTTAAGCTCTAGTCATTATGCTACTTGTATTAAGAAATAATTGTATTGCACTTTATAACAAGATCATGTTGTTTTTTGTTTATGTGTTTTTGTTCTTTTTTAGGTGACCACAATGAATTGAGTCATCTCCCACCATGAGAATGTCCAGAAGAGATTCACCAAGTTTGAATTCATGAAAAGGCTTTCACCATGATTATCATTGACCACAACTATTGCAAGAACAGCTATAATTTCTGAGCATTTCCTGACACCTTCAAAGAGCAGCTTCCAGGAAATGAAGACAACAAGAAGATCTCCCTGTTTTCAGAGTGTTTCAGGAAGGCTATAACGAAGGAGATGGCTGAATGTTGATGGGCAACTTGGCTGATGTTACCTATTTTCTTAAGTTAAATAATAAATAATTCTGCTTTAGTTTTTTAATCAGTGTTTCAGAATTACAGAAGTTAAACTCTGTTTGAAGAATAAGTAATCTTTTGTTTTATTCCAATGTACAAAGGGTTTGTTCAACAGGTATAATGGTAATTATAAGTAGTTCAGTGTGTTTCACTTCACTTGAGGTAAGACTTAATATCAGTGACTCTGTTAGCACAGCTTTTGACACTCTAATAACACTGACTGACATATTTATAATTGTTGCTACTAGTTTCACTTTACTTCAGGGTAAGAGTTAATATTAATGACACTGTAATGACACTTAATGNTGTTTATCTTATGTCTTCCAGCATTTATCTTGCCACATATAATTTTCATTCCACTTCTCTTTACCGTTTTTCTTTTCAGGCTGGATTTTTCAAGAGCAAATATAATGAGATGATTAATGAAAATGCAGAAGCTGAAGGAGAAGCACCAGCAGAGGGATAAAATTGCCTCTTATTTGTCATGTCCATCCAGTACCTTTGTAATGATCACTGTTTCTATGAAATGGCCTTTTAATTTAGTGAATGTACCAAACACAATGTGTATTTCCCAAACCATACTAGTTTGAACAACAAACCGTAGTAAAATGTTTGCTGTGTAAACAGTAAAGCTTTGTATAGAATAACTGGTAAAAAAATGTAGTTTTTCTTAATGTTTGGGATGTGTTGAGGATACATTCTCTCTTTTAAAATGGCAATTGAAGACACAAAAGAGAGCTTTGCTGTGCTGCTCACAGTTATTGGGGATTTAAGGGGTTTAATAATGTCGATGTGTAAAAGATCTGAAACACATCATGAAATATTCACAAATGCAATGTAATGTTTCAGAAGCTTTACTAATAGTGTCTTAAAAATGACTGTTATGCTCTGGAAAAGGTTGGACGTTTTATATTTGTCATGCACGCTCACAGCTGGGTGAGGAGTGGGAGTCTTGAAACCGAAAAAAAGTGAGTAAGCTTCATCAGCTATGAGCAATAGCAAGTGGGGAGGTTCACTTCCTCAGCTGAGGGCTAAATTAGTCAACAAAAGTCTGAGACACGACCGAGAAGTTAAACGGAACAACATATCATCTACCAGCAGATGAACCTGCTGCAAGCCTCCAATTATTTAGGCAAAATCAGTCTTAGTGTTGACATTTTTATAAAAATATAATTCAGCTAAAATCTGTCAGCTTATTTTAGCTGAATGTGATTTATTTTTTCTTTTCTGCTTCAACAAGAAAAAAGCAACATATGACATGCATCTATGATAACCAGCTCACAGGGACTGAACTAGCATGTCACAAACAGGATGAGAGTATTGAGGAAGTCTAAGAAAAGCAGAAATGTTCGGTTTTATTTTTACTTTTTGTTGTGAAGAGGCTTAAAAGACTGGAGAGATGGTTAAATGATACATTTTTCCCATGTCGATTATTTTAACTCTGGCTTATGATAAGGATAATAAAACATAAAAACTATCAGTGCAGAGATACAGTGGCTATAAATAATTGTGGTTCAGTATTCGAGAATTATTTGTTTAATATATCTAAAAGATTTGATAGATAACTCAGCTTGATGAGCAAAAATACCTCGGTATCATGCTACTTGGCATGCTACTGGCTAGCTTGCAATCTAGAAAGACTGTAGCCTCCACTGTCTATATTACCGTATTTTCCGGACTACAGAGCACACTTAACTATAAGCCGCACCCCCAAAGTTTAAAAAACAAAACAAAACTGGAAACTTACATATATAAGTCGCTGATATCTATGCTGCTCTCGGTTTTCCACAAGAAAATAGATCTGCTATTAAGGACGCAGCTCTGCATCTGCACCGCAGAACCATGGATTCGTTCGCCCCGAGCTTAGTACACCGGCTCTCGATCTGTACTGCCAGATCAATAGCCTTCAACTTAGAAGCTGCATCATATGAGTTTGAAAACATTTCTCCATTGTGCCTGCTGCTAGCATGTGCTTGTTCTAAATTAAAATTAGCGCCTTCTTCTTTGATTTCCAGTTTTGACTTGCAATGATTCACGTTGCAAGTCAAAAGAGCCCCCTGGTGGTTGAAGAAAAATCCGCAGAAAAGCTGCACCGGGCAACAAGCCGCATGGTTCAAAGCGTAGGGGGAAAGTGGCGGCTTATAGTCCGAAAGATATGGTAATGCTTATTAAGATATATTAAGTGTTACATGAAAAAAAAATAATTTATAGAAGTGGTGTATTTGGGGCATTTAATAATTCGCAGGCGGTATATAGACATGTTCTTAGTGTCATTGTTTCTTCATGGTACTGTAAGGAAAGGTTTTCAGAGACTCTCCTCCTCCCCCAAATACGGCTTTTGATTCATTCATATTTGCTAAGAATTCCCTAATTAAAACTGTTTTAATCCATTTAATTTCTGCTGACTTTAAAGTGTAACCAAACCGCAACTGAGAGGATTTCACAATGGTAAGAAGACTGCGTTGTTCTGTCACACCAACATGTTCTGCTTTCCATGCATTGGATGTTTTTTTTTATAAAGATATCAGAGTAAAGAGGCTAGATACAAATGCATGTCATGCATTTCAGATTTTTATTTGTATTTTCTGTTCCATTTTTAAGTAATTAGCTTCTTTTTTGTTTAGTTTATAACATAATAAAACACCGGAAAAGACATCCAAAATGGTATGATTGTTTTCTTGTTTTGTGTTTTTTTTTTTTTTGCCAGAGATGGCGATTTTTGCATAGTGAACCATCAATGTTTACTTCTGCTTATTTTATACAAACTTTTCT